TTCCTGGTGCATGCGCCACATGGGAATAGTATATTTCAGTTAAAATAATGATACTAGTCCTCGAAAAAACAGTTTTAAAGACTTGACCCCCGGACATCAAGGAACACACATTTTCTTAGGTTTGAGCTCCTCATTGACTTACAACACTGCATGCTTTGACCCTAGCCACATAACCGCTCATTATATCGATCTTTTTTTAGATTTTGGGTTCGAATATCACGAATACATAAATATAAATATTATTGTCGAATAGTTAATTCTTTAAACAAATATTTTATATTCACTCCAGATTTTATCAAAAATATAATGTACATAACGGTCTACTCTGTCGACAATGGTTCGACTTGAAATACCCATATTCTGGTCCAGACAAGTATCGAGGGATAAATCGATGGGTGTTGTAGTGCAATGTATATCATTAAAAATTAATTTGTATATAGTTATATATATTTTTATATTTTCTGTGGATGATTAATTTATATCCCATCAAATTTTATAATTCTAAAACCTGAAATTTTAATATAATTCTCATATAAAATTTGACGTGTGTTGGCGCAGGTATCGGCATCCAAGGTTTTACAAGAGACTTGCAATTATATCAGAAACTTGCACAGGGAGGTGGACGACCTAAGTGAGCGGCTCTCGTTGCTGTCCGTCATTGATGCTGACAGTGCCGAGGCTGCAATAATCAGGAGTTTAATTATGTAACATAAACCAATCTTACTAGGCTTTGGTCATTAGATCCAACAAATTTAAATATAATATATATATTATATATTATTTTATATAGTTGAAGATGCTTTCTCCATGTGGCCAGGTTTTGCAATCTAATATGTATAATAAAAGGACTTGCACTAGCAAAGCCCTTTAATTTAATGCCAATATAATATTACTTCTTTTAATTCTTATCTTTACGTACTCTTTTTGTTTGAAGAATATGATTAATTATACTGATTCACGTGAAATTAATATGATGCAAATTAGAAGAATATTTTGTGTCGATTGTGTCGGTAAGTTGGGATCAAGTGTGTGCTAATTTGCTCTAAAATCATCATTAGTGATGATTTGATGGAAGGCTAATTAAGTTTTCTTTTTCCTAACTACCCTAATGTTACAAGCGTTACATTTTGATCCTCCATTATTTTTCTTAAAAACAATTATGAACCGAATTAAAATTCGATTTCGACAATATAAATCTAATATAGAAAAGGTGAATCAAAAACGAATTTACTTTGATCACAAGCGTTCCAAGAAGAAATTGAATTCATAGAATTGACCCATGAGAATACCCCGGCCAAAGTCTAGTCAGTAGGAGCATGGTGTACTATATAGTCCCGAAAGCTTGTTCATCTTTTAGTAACAACTAAACATGATTTGAACCGAAATGACAGAGATTTTGATTGTATATTCGACTATACTCGATTTATATTATCGAAATGGTGAGTTTATGCACGAACCAAGTGACTTCAATAATAAAATAATGGTTGTTATTCCTTGAGGTCCCGGGTTCGAGCACCAGAAATATCATGGGTGTGCATTCAATGTGAAAATGATTGAAAATTATATTTGAACAGATATTGTCTTATACTTAACTTACCCCATGTTAATAAAAAACAAATAGTGAGTTTATATGAATCTGGATCAACAAATGTAATTATAAGAAATAATAGTCTAAATCAAGTGAAATATCTATGAATAATTGGTTGATGAATCATGCTTACCTTAGCATGAAGAAACTCATGCAACAATTCCAGTTTGTTATTACACATCAATGAAAGTGGGACATGCATGTCAATAAGAGTCTTTAATTTTAGATGTGAAGACTTCTTTTTTTAATATTTTATTGGAAAGATTGACAATTTATGGGCTATGCATTAAAATATAATACATTAGGCATGATCTATATTTCAAAATATTACATATAATTTATAATAATAATATAAATTATTGCTACATATGTGTTAAAAATTAGATTCTACAAAACAGGGTAGTTGTTTTCCTATAATTGGTTTTTCTCATTTTTCAGTGTTTGATTGGCGGAAAAGATGGGTAATTCATTTTTTTAATCAATTGAATTTCTTTGCATTTTCAGGAAAATGACTAATGGTTGATTTTTTGTATGTTTTACGAATTTTTCACTTCAAAACACACACTCAAAATATTATTTATATATTCATGTTAATATATTTTATATTATTTTAATAAAATATATTATTAAATTATTTATTCATAATTTTAATATAATATAATATTTTTATGGTTATAACTCTATTATATAATATATAATATATTTTTTTATTAATTCATAAATAATATTATTGAATTGTTAAATATTTAAAATATACTTTTAAATACAATATATTTTTATTTTTAATGGTTTAATAATATTTTATTTTAACAAGTAATTATAGCTAATAATATATTGTTCTTATTTAATAAACGATTAATATAATTTATAATAATTTTATTTAATAAATAAAATTTTTAATATTTTCACTTAAAATTGTATATAATATTTTAATAATATTGATATAAATAATATTAAATAAATTAATATAATATTTGAAAAGATTATTGTTTGTTAATAAATATATTATTTATTGTATTTTATTTTTATATAAAGAATTTTAAAAAATTATCAACCATTGGAAAATGGATTACACAATATCATCCAAACACCGTAAATGATTATAGAAAATATTTTCGAAAAAACGTAATTCCTTTTACGATACTTATTTTTCAAAATCTATTTTCCGTGAAAAAATATACCCTAAATGTTATTTGACATAATTAAATGAACTTAATTTTTTGATCCGCAAATTTTAAACTCTAATTCTTAAATTTTGAATTCGAATATTTAAATCGTAAACCCTAATAACTATATAAAACAAATTGCTGGTATCAATATAACCCACTTATAAATAGTTTTCCACCTTCAGTCAATGAATAATAATCTATGAAGTAATTATTCTATAAATTGTCCTGAATTTAAAAAAAGAAAGTTAAAATATCGATGCATATATAACACTTTTAGTATTTTAAACTTTAATTCATTTTGTCTGATCAGGGTAGTTAGAAACATTTATTTATAACACTTCCTTTCAGTATTTTTTTATTGAAAAATGCTGGTAATTAAGTAGGCCAAGCATCAATCATCTTATATAATATACGAGACAAGCCAATCCCATTTAGGTATTAAATTCTATATATCAGGCTTAAGAATTTAGATATAAGGATTTAACATCAATCAATACATACATAAAAAATGAGAAATTATTTAATGTATAAGTTATGTAAAACTTAATTTACATAATTTTATTATTTTTGTTAAAATTAATTTATGTAAAACTCTAATTTATAAATTTTAATTTTAAACTCAAGACCATAAAATTAATATTTTAAGAAATAGTTATGAAAAATACTAATATAACAAATAATATTGAATTTATAGAACAAAATAATATAAAAAACCAATGTTATTAAAACCGGACCGGCCGGTTCGACCGGTTGAGCCGGAAACCGGTTACCTGTCCGGTCCGGTCAGCATGCAAAACCAGTTGTGTATAGAACCGGTAAAGAACCGGTAGAACCGGCTGATAACCGGCAAAACCGGTGTGAACCGGCGGTTCAACCGGTTTTGTGTTTTTTTAATTAAACAAAACGTCGTCGTTTTATATTTTTTCAACCCATATTTATTTTCTGATTTTGCAGGGTTAAGCGATTTTCAGCTTTTCTTTTTCTTTCGTGAAATGTTTAAGCAGTGAACCCTATCCCTTTTTGGCTTTTCCACTTTGGTTCCCTTCAACACCACTCTTTCACCGGCGTTTTATTGTGCTCCAGTTCCTTATTCTCGTAAGATGGTAATGTTTAAGCTATCCATTTCTTTATATTTCTAATTCATCTTTTAATTGAATTTAAATCTTTGAGTTTGTAGTTTATCAATTTTATGGGTTTGCTTGATTCAGTAGATTTGGTTCATCGCTGAAACAAGTCTGTAAGTTTTTTTTAGTCATTTCTTCTGTGATTTGACGGTAAACTGGATTGAGTCACCTGGGGAGGGAAGCATTTTGAATTTTGGCACGTGTTGATTGTTTCTCTTGGTTTTTTTTTTTATATTTTTTTATAGATCAAAGCCATTTGATTGTTTAATGTTGTTGTTTTGTCATGCGGCTTTGAGTTTGCCTTCCTGGTCAACATTTCTGAGTTCTGTGAGTTGATATATTTAACATTAAGTTTAAAATTTAAATGACTACTGGAACATGCTTAGAGTTTTGAAGTTCCGATTGGAATTATGTTTGTGTGAGTTAAATTTAATTCTTATATTATCTAAACTAATGGTATGAAAAAGCTTTGTGAGTTGGATCCTTTCTTAGTAGAACAAAGGCATTGAATTTAATCAGATTAAATCCAGAAATGACTATTTCCACAATTGTCATGGTTTTTGGTTCAACTTATATATTATTTGTTAGTTGGTCACTGAGCTACACTTTTAGATCATGCTTTCTTAAGTGTTCAACTGAAGAAATATTCAAAACTCCATCTCGTAGAACCTGTGAAATTTGATTTATGCATCCCTGTTTAAGTTTTTGTTCCTTCTTGAGCGTCAGTGGTCTGGTGCTTTTTATAGTGCTTCTCCATGACTCTAACAGTGGGTATTGAAATTGGTGCTAGTGAGATTGTTACTCTATGACAAATTTTGTTGCTCGTTATATTTATAATTGCATATGAATTTCTCAACTATTCAATTATTTATTATTAATCACTAATCAGTTTATGTTTATTACATGTAGGAACTACCAAGTGTGAATGTTGTACAAGATAATGCTTCTCAAAATAGTAATGATATTCCATCTGAGAAACAATCCACAGAATCCTTAAGTACAACTCGTGGGAAAAGTGATCCTGCGTGGGATCACATTTCATTTAAAAAAGAGGGAAAAAGTTGTGTATACACTTGCCTTTATTGTAATAAGCCTTGTAAAGGAGGGGGCATAAATAGAATGAAGCAACATCTTGTGGGGGTTCCAGGTAATATAAGTTCTTGCAAAAACGTTCCTCATGATGTTCGTAACCAAATGCTTAAGTTATTGGATGTAATCAAAGGAAAAAGTAAGAGTGGTGATGGTAACCTAAATGAAGCATATGGTGGTCAAAATATTGAAGAGGAAGCACAAGAAGTTCAACCTAGCTCAAATATGGATAAGAAGAGTAAGATGCAAGCCACATTGAAAAGAAAAGCTAATGTTGAAATTAATAATTATTTTGCTCCAAGCACTACTCCAGGATCACAACCAAGTTTGAAAAGTGTATTATCAAGCACGCAAGCAATTCACAAAGCTAAGATGGCAATTCCTCATTGGTTTTATGATGTCTGCATTCTATTTCATGCAACACTATCACCATACTTTCAACTTGCTTTAGATGCAATCAATGCTATTGGTCCCGATTTTAAAGGCCCATTTTATCATGAATTAAGGGTTAACTTGTTGGGAGACTGCAAGAGAGAGTGTTGCTTACTTGTAGAAGGTTATCGAGCAAATTGGGCTAAGAGTGGATATACAATTATGGCAGATGGATGGACTGATCAACGACAAAGAACTTTGATAAACTTTCTAGTTTATTGCCCTACAGGTATCATTTATGTTAAATTTTAATAGTCTTTAGTATAGTTATTACTTATTAGTTCACTATTTTTTTAGTTTGCTATTAACTATCATATGAAGAATACTTAATATATGTTTGATAAACTTTTTAATTTATTATAATATAGGTGTAGTATTTGTGAAATCTGTTGATGCATCAGATGTCACAAAAGATGCTAAGACATTATGCGGCTTGTTTTCTGAAGTGGTTGAATAGGTTGGAGCTGAACATGTTATCCATATAGTGACTGATAATGCAGCTAATTATGTAGTTGCTGGTAAATTGATACAAGAGAAATATGATACCATTTTTTGGTCTCCTTGTGCCGCTCATTGTTTGAATCTCCTTTTAAAGGACTTTGCTAGTATGCCTCATGTTGCAGACCTTGCCTCAAAGGCTTCCAAGATTATAATATTTGTCTATAATCACATGGTATTCTTATCTTGGATGAGAAAAAGAGAAGGTTGGAAAGAAATTGTACGTCCAGGAGTGACTCGTTTTGATACTACTTTTATTACATTGAAAAATAGTTTTGATCACAAACATGATTTGCAAGCTTTAGTTGTAGACAAGCATTTCACTAGCCATAAATTATCAAAGACTACAACAGGAAAAATTGTTAGTGATATTGTTTTGGATCAAAAGTTTTGGAATGATTGTTTGTCGATAGCGAAACTTGTGGCTCCTATCATTCGATTACTAAGAATTGTAGATGGGGATGAAAAGCCTTCTCTTGGTTATGTTTATGAAGGCATGCAAAGGGCAAAAAATGCTATAAAGGAGATGTTTAGAAATAGAAGAGCTTTGTATAAGCCTTACACAGATATTATTAAGGCTCGATGGGATAAATATTTAAAACTCAATCTTCATGCAGCAGCTTACTTTTTAAATCATGCATTCTTCTATGATGAGAAATTTTGTAGCAAGAACAGAGTCATGAGTGCAGCCATTTCTTTACTTGAAAAAAGAGCTTTTTGTAATGACTTAACTAAAGGCATTAGTGAGATGAATATGTACCGGGAACTACAAGGAAGCTTTGGTCGAGAAAGTGCTCTTACCGTAACAAAGACAATTCGACCCGGTAAATATTACTTTATATTTTCTAGTTTATAATTTATATTTTTTATGCTTAAATAGTTATGTATAACTTGTATTCTATACTTTTATTTTTTATCATTAAATTTATTTCTTGTAGATCAATGGTAGGCGTTGTTTGGGGGTAGTGCTCCAATTTTGCAAAAGTTGGCAATCCGCCTTCTTAGCCAAACTTCTTCATCTTCTGGATGTGAGAGAAATTGGAGTGTCTTTGAACGCATCCATACAAAGAGAAGAAATAGACTAGAACATCAAAGACTAAATGATCTAGTTTATGTTACTTATAACTTGCATTTAAAGAATAGGTATAATGTTAAAATATTATTTCATTTCCTTGTCCTTTTAAGCATAATCAATTAATCATTAATCAACTTCTTTCTTGATATTGTGATGTTTAATTTTAGGTTGCTCAAGAAGCCATGTTATGATCCTATTGATTATGAATCTATTGATCATGTTGATTTTTGGGTAACTGAAGAAGAAACACCTCCTGAGCTTGATATTGATGAGATTGATAATTTTCTTTATCATGAAAATGCAATTCCAGTTAGTCAATCATCAAAAAACAATGAAGGTTAATCTTTGCTTGTTTATTTTAGTTATATAATTATATTTATTATTTAATATGTTTTATACTTTTACTTTTAATTGTTAAGTATTGTTTGAGAATTTAAATTTAACTTTGTATTTATTTATCATATTGCTAGGTGATGAAGATCTTGATTTTGTGGACTTTCAAGTTCAAAGTGGTGATGGCGGTGATAGTTCAACTAATGAAGAAGCTTTTCCCAATATTTTGGAATTTGAGGGAATCAATTTCAATGAATATTATGATGATTGATACTTGTATCAATTATGTACTTTTTTTATTTAGTTGTTGATGAATTTCATTAGGTATTGACCTTAAATATTATGTTGTAGTTGATTTGAATCATTTTGTTTCACTTGATATTATGATATTTAACTTATATTTGTTATGATTTGTGATATTTTTATACCTTTTAATATTGTGAATTTAAAAATAGTGTTTTATTTATATATATATATATATTAATATTGCTTTGAATATTATGTAAAAGATTTAAAAAAAAAATATTATTTTATATAAATTGGTTCAACCGCGATTGAATCCAGTTGAACCAGTGAACCAGTACCTTCACCGGTTTAACGTCTGGTCCGATTTTAAAAACATTGATAAAAACTAAAAACTTCAAAGTTAATATGAACAAAAATCGAACGACTATTAAAAAAATTATAAAAACCGAACCATATACATGCCTAGACCTAAGAAATATTTAAATGAAACATAATAAAGGTTGGGGTTTAGGGGGGATAGAGAGGAGTGTAGGATTTGAGGTTAGGGATGGTAATAGGTCGCGTCGGGTCAGGTTTTTGGGTCACCCAACTCGATCCGAGAAGAAAGGGTCCTCCACCTGTGACTCGACCCGACCCGAATATATGACTTAGAAACACGACCCGATCCGACCCGAAATAATTATTAAATAAAAACAGTGACTTAATTGGAAAAAATTATATATAGAGAGGTAATATTGTAATTATCCCTAAATATATAGGTAAAATTATATATATTTTTCGAGTCGATTCGGGCTCGGATTTTTTTCACCCTAAACCCGATCCGACCCGAGAAGTGCATTAAAAAAAACCCGACCCGAATCCGATTTGTTTTTTAAAAAATCCGATCTGATAAATTGATCAATTAAATATTGAGATGACATTGACGCTCCTTTAAAGGAAATGACTTCACGCGCCATTTAGAGAAAATAACTTTTCTGTTTAATTTTTTTTAAAACAATAATAATCACTTAAATTTCATTGTATAAAAATATATATATAGTCAAATTATTAGATAGTATATGAAATTAGGGTATATTAAATTATATTTCATCGTTTCTTCTATAATTATCAATATACTTAAATTAATCACTAAAAACAAAATAGAATTATAAAGGAAAAAAATTATAAACAAATATTACCACTGACAATGCACGATAAATAACATCAAATATATAATTTGATATTTGAATTTATATTTTTTTACGAGGTAGTTATTGTTTTTAAATCCTATTTGGTAAATATTGATAAAAAAATCAATTTGGTATATGAATTTTTTATTTTTATAATACAATACTTGAATTTGATATTTTTATCAAGTTTAGTTGATTATTTTGATCTTAAATGTTTCAAAATTATTTAGAAAGTAGTACATGTTTATCATATCAACTATTGATAGATGATATTATCCAAAAAAAAAAAATTATTGATAGATGAGATAGATCATGATGATTCTTGACGGTTGACCTCTTATATTTTACCTGAAGAGTTACTGCTAATGATTTTGTGAAGAAAATAAAAAGTAGATAAACAACGAGAGAAGCTGAGATTAGAGAGAGAAAATTTCTTTCTTCGACATTGCATAGTGACTTAGATATTAACCTTTGGCGATGTTGTCAGGTCTAGAGTCATAATGATTATTTGTAAGTTGATAGATTAAATAAATTTGATTAGTAGATAGTATATTCAATTGAAAGATAATGTAGGTCTACCAATGGTTAGGAGTGAGTGAAATTTGACTCGATTTGAAAAATTGATCTTTTCGACTCGAATAGAAAAAACTTGAATCGAAATGGCTTCGAGTTGTAATTTCATAAACTTGACTTGAAAAAAAAATTAAATTTGATTTTAGTTATAATATTGAACTTAAATAGTAATTTGAATAACTCAAAAATTTTAGTTATTTAGTAGATTAATTTTAAGTTTGCATTGAGTATTTAGACTTTGTATATATATATATATATATATATATATATATATATAAAGAAATATACATAGTTATAGAAAATTGTTTAAATTAAAATCAAATAGTATTATAATATTACAAATATTTATAATTAAATTTAAATAGAAACTCAAATAGCTTGACTTGACTCGAGAAAACTTAAATAAGACTTATCAATTTGAATAACTCAAAATTTTTAAACTCCACTCGATTCGACTCAATTTAACTCGATCCGATCGACATTCATCCTTATCTGTTATTATATAAGAGATTATAATTGTCTAGAAGATTTATACTCTAAGGGGGTGTTTGGTTCACGGAATGTAAGATTACCTTTGAGAATAACTTTACTGGAATGTAACATTACTATGTGAATATTGTATTACATTGTTTGGTTTGTTTAGCAGGAATATAAGATTACTTTGATACATATTTTACCAAATTATCCTTGTGATATTTTTTTTTAAAGTTAAACTTTAATATTAATTTATAAATATTTGAATGAATATTCATAAAAATATTTTAATCGTTATACTATCTAACTTTTAATGAGAAATTATATTTAATATATAATTAATATAATTAATATATTAAATTTATATTTATATTTTTAAATAATGTTCATAAGTATCATATTTATTTATATATAATATAATATAATATAAAAATAATATTATGGTAGTAAAATATTATTTTAAATAATTACATTTTTAAAATAATACAATTTTTTATCCCATAAAATTATAAATAGTAAAATATTGAATATTAAAAATATAAAATATTTTAAATTCTCAAAATTATTAATATTTTAGAAAATCAAACTATTTGTATATTATTTTTTTTATAATTTTGAGTAAAGTATAAAAAATAAGAATTTAGAAAGATCATTATAAAAAGAATTCATTAGTCTAAATGTATTTTTGTTCAAAGTGGTGAGAATGTAAGATTACCTAAGAATTTGAAGATAATGACATTCCCATCATTTTAATAAAAAAATGCTACTATTGAAAAAAAAATATTTCTGTTAATGTAAGATTTCGTGAACTAAACATGTGGATATAATTACGAAAAAAATTCTTTCTAGTAATATAAGATTTTACGATCTAAACGTAACCTAAAGGCTTCTGACAACTCTAAATACCTCATTGATAATAGATATGTAATTTGCGAAGAAGGTCAAGAAGTACAATAATTTTAATTTTGACGCCACGTTGACTTAAAAAGTCATAAATAAGGTTTTCCTTTTAGGAAAAAAATCATTATTTAAGGAGAGAAAAAAAGAACAAGAAAGAATAGCAAATCTATTTATTGAAATGCACGATCGATCAATGAGAGTGGAGTTTGTAGCCATGTGGAAAGATGACCAGCGGGTAGTGTTTATGTTGGTTAATTCTCTTCTATCATCCCTCTTTATCATGCTTAAGCTTTCTTAACCCTCTGATCATCATCATCAACAACAGGTATGCAAAAAAAAAAATCATAACTTTTCATAAAGTTTCAATTTTTGTTTCAGTTTTCCTTCTTTTCCCATGCAAATTCAGTGATACCCAGTTCTCCTTTTCAGCTTATTTGATCGGTTTTAATAAGTTGGTGCTCCTCTTTTGTCTGGGCTTTCAATAAATTCAAGTATGTATTCTTAATCATAGTTCCAGGCTTCTGATAGTTGGAAATTGAGGGCCTTTAATTGATATTTGGTGGACAAAGTTTGCTTCTTTTACTCATTAATGACCCCCCATTGTTGATATAAGCTATGATAAGTTCTTTTATTCTTATATATATATATATATATATATATATATATATATATATATATATATATATTGGGTATTCTTTAATGTAAGTTGAACCTCCTTTTGCACTTTAGCCAAAAAGTTTGATTATCTTGCTTCAAGCTTACAATGTTTGACTTGCTTACATTGAAAGCCAATGCATATTTTCATTTTGGAGGATTAGATGGGCTATGCCTGTCCCCAAAGCTCATCCCTTTTATTACTTTTGACTTCAAACTGAGATATGTTGTGCTGCATTTAAGCAGATTTCGGAGTAGATTAAGGCACCTTGCTTGGGGTTACAGATTTTTTTTATTCCACTTGGTAAAATAGATTTGGCATTTTAACAGTGAGAAGTTGAATGTGTTACTGTTGAATTAAGGCTAATCGATGCCAGAAAATCAGCAACATTGTTAGTATTTTTTTCATTTGATTTTAGAAGATTCCATGAATTTTCGGTTTTCATTGCATACCTAGGCCACGTTCGATGAGAGCTTAGTAGTTGGGACCAATAAGAATGAAAGAATCAATGCCCCGACATGACAATGCCTATATTATCTCTTTCTGAATTTCCCTTACCCATCTCTCTAAAAGAAGTGTCGTTTTCCTCGGAACGGCAATGGTTTCGGATTTATAAAACTTTTGAATGAACAAAGTTGATTTCTGAATTATCAAGCTACCTTTTATGTTTACTTCTAAAACTTTATTTAAATACCTTTGAATAGGTTCGTTTTGGCTTGCTCTATCTCAGTTCAAGACAATGTACCCTGGAGGTTACACTGCTGAAATTACAAGCTTATCTCCAAAAGTTACCGAGAAGGATCTCCGTGACTTTTTTGCGTACTGTGGTGTAATTGAACATGTCGAAATCATCAGGTGATATTTTGCTACACTATTCTGATCATCTGAATAAATGTCAGAAATCACTCTCCATAATGGTGTATTTTCAAGATTTTGTGCATATTTATTGTGCATTTGCAAATTTGTTGGGACTCATCGTTCACCGGTTATTC